CGTTCCGTGAAAGAAAGCAAAGAAACGAGTCAGTATTTAATGAGAAAACTGACCATTGGGAAAGTTTGCATTGTTTCATGACTCTCATGAAATTTATATTGATAGTTTTAAAATAATTTTTTCAGAATATAAACGTGATTCATGTAAGAAATTCATTCTACTCTGTAAATGAGCCCGGTTCTCTGTACTTCTGAGTACTTTGATTTACTATTTAGCGCTGGTCTTGATGTAATTCATCAATTACCATTGAACTGTTTTTTGTGTTAAACCAATATTTTATGGCCAAATTGGCATTTATATTGAATTAAATGGTTGCAAAATGTAGGCGGGAATCGAGAGTTAGCGTGCGTGTTTCTTTTGTACATCTTAAAAATTCCATTTCTATACAGTTTTATTTTTTTCTTTGCCAATTCACCATGCTGATGTACCAGACATTGCAGAGTTGTTAGCATAAAGCAATATGCACTGCATTTTTAGAAGTAAAATTTAGAATTTATCTGCATGTTAATATATCAAGTATTTATAAATTATGCTTCGAAGCATTTCAAAGAGTAAGATTTTTTTTACGTTATACAGTGATAGCTAATGCGTACTGTTGTAAAATGAAAGGCAGAAATTCAGATTCCTATAACACTCGACTTGCAGTATTTCAAGTATAGTGTAAAATGTTGACTTTAATGATATTTGCATCATCAACTTTGTTGTCAATAGCATGTCTCGTTAGAGAAATTGTTTCTTCATAGAATATACTCTTGCGTAACAAATCAGCATTTTTCTGCTTAATAAAGTCTTTTAATGCTTTGTCGTATGTGTTAGAAATTACTGGATTTAGAGCATAGCATGACAGCCAGCTAATATTTGAAAATAGTTGAAGGAGTTTTATATTCAATTTAGTAATACCATTTTAAGATTCAATTACCCTTTTATAAGAGAGAGAACTCTTTAAAGGCATTTACGTCTTTTAGAACATCGTTGTACTAAAGTGTACTTTTTAGATATAGTCATTCAAAATTTTAATTTAAAAGGATATTTAAAATACAAATGAAATTTATTTGTAGCAGGCGAAACCTAAGTTTGAAGAATGGTTTACTCTTTAATGAAGCAATTGCTTCAAATGGTTTTTAGAATTTACCTTTTATGAATAAAATAGTACAGATATGAGAATATATTTAGAATAGGAAAGTTTTAAATTAAGTACAATGATATATTCTCTCAAATAATATCGGGATAACATTGTCGCCGACAGGATGTCTAGCCTTGAGCTGGTTTTTCCTGAGTACTAAAGTTCATCCCAGGTTATTCTAGCACAGTAACGTCTATCTAGAAAAATGATTTAAAGGAAGAAAAACACATCATCAGAAGAGTCGGAACGGATGTTGAATGTTACAGTCACTGACTTAAATGTAACTTTCATATAAAAGTTTTCTCCGTATTTGCTTCTCCAATTATAGCCAGTGTTAAAACCTTGGATTAAAAGAACTTCCTTTTTAAACTGTAGATCAGACCTTTGCACCCAGCTATCCATCTAAATGTTGTTTTATTACTCAATATATTTTTATATGACCTTTTTTGTATGTAAAGTACGTATGATTTTATACCCTTTAAAGCCTTTAAAAGTCAATTGACTTGACTCATACGTACGCTCGAATAAATTCATTTACCACGTTTTTCATTTACTTAGAAATAGACACAAATTTGAAAGCTTACTTCCCCATTTGGCTCCAGGCTCCAGAGCAAATGTCGTTGCTTATAAGACGGTGGATTTGATTTTAAAAAATATTTGAATTAAGAAACCACTTACTATTGTAAATAATATCCTTTGGGGAGTTGCTACAAAAATCTCTATCGATGAAAATTTTCGGGATTTCTTATATATACTTATCATCAGCAACGATTTTTTTTTTACCAAAAGTGGTTTTCTTTTCATGTGACTTATGGCAGGATAATTTAAATGCCAACTTTATATTTCATGAGCTGTACAGGAAAGTATTCAGAGTGCATATACATGTAGCATATACATGTACATGTATATACATCTACTCAAATCGGCAGTTTTGTTTGCTAAAGCATCTGCTTGAGGAAATTTTAAGTTCAAATGAAATCTTAAATAGAGGGATTATAAAGCAATTATAATTTTAATAATTTTTAAACGTATCCTGAATAAAATTAAATTTCAAAGTACTAGTATATCAAGTGATGTGTGACATATTTTTTCCGTGTTAGCTGTTTTACGCCCGATGAACATTTGCATAAAAGGAAATTGAAAGATATGAAGCACGTTTCTGTAAAACTTTAGTAGCATTCGGAAGTTACGATCTTCAACGAAAGAGAGGACATACAAAACATTTCACCAGGAAGTTTTGAAATTTTGACATGATAACATTACGTCTATTTCTATTATTTACAGGAACATTGGTAAAAATAATTATAAATGCAGGTAAGTGAACTAATTTTTAATTAGAGAACTGTAAGCTGAATTGCTCCCCCTTTTATTTAAGGAATAAGTGTCTTATTTTTCGAATTCACGAAGTGATCAATGGATTGGCTTGTGTGATAATTTGCATAATTATCACACAAGCCAATCCATTGATCATCTTCATGAATTCGAAAAATAAGACACTTATTCCTTATATTTACATGCTTTGATTCCGCCAATCCACGGGCTCCAAGCCTGCTTCTCTCTAGGTGTTGTCCCGCCCTGCACGTGGTTTTTTTTTTGGAACCGCGCCAAGACATTCATGAGGAAATAAATTACATTTACAATTGGTAATTTTATCTCGGACAAAGACATTGGAAATGTAAATATAAAGTTTTGTTTCTCCTTCATGTTTATAATATTCTCTTTAATTGCTATTAACAGTAATCTTTGCATTTCACAATATAAAACTGTCTCCCACTTATCAAAATTGATATAAAGTCTTTTACCTCTAGATTATAATAAATAAGAGTGTAATAATCGGTTGCTGAAATATAAGTTCTCACTTTAAGTGTAGAAGATAATACAATATATCATCTCAATTTTACCATGTTTTCCAGCGTTTGTGGCACATGTTTGGAACTCTTGATAAGAAGCCTAAATAACTAATGTCTAAGAAAGTCGTCAAGGTTAGAGGATGTTGGAAGTGTATCCTGGTTATTTTTGTAACATTGAGCAGTAATTGCTATGACTGTAAGCGTATGAAAAAGATGTCATTTACCTAAACTCTTGATATAAGCTTTCTAGGTAATGGGATGTTGTAAGTGCATGAATCCGGGTTATTACATTTCTTTGAGTTGTGAATAGAAGCTTTAGAATATTGTATTCTGTAACTTAAACAGATACAACGTTTTGGGGGAAAGACCATCCCTGAAAGGTTAAATAGAATAGAGTGGAATATTCATTCAACCAACTTAGGCCCACAGAGGAGCATACAGACGAACAATGTCCAAATTCATGACAGTTACAATTAAATGGCAAAGATATGAAAAATCTTTGTCAGATACACTGTATCAATTATTCAGCTCGAATAATCGATATCACCTATTCATCTAAAAAAGGTAATATCAGCAATTCGGAAAGGTGATATCACCTATCCAAATAAGTGATATCACTAATTCAATTTGAACGAGTGATATCACTCAGGCAATTTATTACCCCTGGTAATAAAGAACCTTTGTATAGTGTGCTGGATATCGCAGGGCATCAACGATAGCAGGAAACATGGGGTAATTTGAATAACAGGCGAAGCCTTATAATTTATTTTTTGATAATAAGCAGAGTTGACAAAATATTTTAATAATACTGATTACTGTAAAGGTACATGCATGTGTTTTTCTCCTCTAAAGATAACAAAGAAAGAACCTGGAGTGATGCCAACTCGGAATGTAATCTTCTCGGATCACACGAAAGTGGAATATTCTCTGAAATATCAGCTATATATCAAGATCAAGTACCGACAGATGGCAAAATGTACTGGATAGCTGCAATTAAGAAGACAACGATCCCTTTTAGATTTAATAGTGAGTTTGGATGAAATGATTTGTTGTTTTTACATCATCCAAAAAGATTCTTTTTATTTCTCTTTTTTTTTCAAGAAAAAAAGATATTCAAAATAATGCAGCATGCATAAAATTTGTTTTAAAATCTATAATTCTAAAAGTTATTTTTTTTTAAAGTTTCCCTTCATTTGTTTCTATTCTTATCCAAATCATTATAAGAAAACTTTGTGTTTATAATACCTCTGTTTATTTTTTTTTTTCAAATACAAATATGACAAATAGATCCCTTATTTTCAAAACAGCATCTTTTGGGATATAGTTCTTGTGCTACATGTATTTACCAGTACTAAGTGAAAGTAGTACTCAATACTGTTCACCGATATTCCTTGCGTTTCAGCGCTCGGAACTTTTTCTTGCTTTATCTGGATCGCATATGCGTCGAAACCAGAGGGGTGGCTGGGGGTTAGCTCCCTTTTTTTCAAATGTAGACTTGATATAAGCATTGAAAATTGGGGCTTACGTTTTTTGTTTGTTTAGCCCCCCTCCCCCTCCTTCACTCTCAATTAGCCATCCCACTTTCAATTTACTTCCGACGCCTATAGATCGTGAGGTAGAAATTCCTGACACACACACAAGTAAAGTATAATTTTGTCTAATATTCACAATCAGCATAATTTTCTAAATATGAAATCCATTTGGCATCTAATATACAGTTTCCTATTATTTAAACACAAGAAACCTGTCACTGCATGGTGGAATTCACGACTATCTGTATAACTATTTACAATACTCTAGGAACATCAAAATATTTAGATGTATTTGTTTTGACTCAATTTAATAGAAAAAACAATAACCCTGTTAAAAATATATATCTAATATTCTATTAATTAACATTCTGTTTATAGTAAAGTAGATATATATATCTTTTAAACAATAAAAATCTTTTTCAAAAACCAACTCCTTGTTCACAAAAATCTTTTATATAAATCCCATAAATAGCTTATTTAGGAACTTACTGTTCACACTACAACTTAACCATATTTGAATTTCAGTTAAAATACAAAGATCATAATATTGTCCAAGAACAATAGATACATCCTTATTAAGTCAATATCGGATCGTTTTATGCCTCCGTAATCGAAGACTCGGGTAATAGTTTTTGACCTGTCAATCCGTCTAATCTGTCTGTTTGTTTGTCCGTAAAATCTTTAATCTTGCTTATAGCTTCGAGTGGGTGGGGCTATGGTTTCATATTTTACAGTTGTATACCTCTCTTTAAGTACCACCAAATATCTCCTGACCTTGGAGTTTGATCCACTTTTACAAGAAATATCACACTTTAACCTTGGTCATAACTTTAAGCAGTTGTTGCTAGGTCTTTCATACTTCACATGTGTATTTATTGTGACAAGACCTCTTAGTGGGTTTAAATATTTTTGAAATTTTGACCTTGACCTTAGAGTTTGAGGATACCCTATTCAAAGGATTTAAAGTGAACTCTAACTTTTGAACAGTTAAAAAAACTACGGCTTTTATATTTAACATGTGTATTCATTGTGACAAGACCTAGCTTCCTTTAGGTATCATGTTCATCATAACTTTGTAATTACTTAGTTTACTTAATACCCAGGAGCAGAGAAGAATATTTTTTATCATATAATGTATTTTCACTACATAATCAATAGAGTCCCACCCTAACACCAGGGGCCGTTTTACAAAAAGTAATCGCAAGTCGTAACTCCTAAATCTTAACTTTCCTCGCAAGTCGTAACGGAACCCCAATAGGACCTGTAACGTAATAAACAAGGGCAAAGATTTCTTCTTGTCGCCATTTTACTTTTTAGCCATTTCAGGTATAAATTGCCTGCGCGACATCACCTTGGTTGGCGCGGTATCCCAGATATATATAAATTAATATAAAATACATGGTTACTGTCTTGAAATATAAGCGATATTTGGTCGAGGGTAAGAAAACGTGACAGAGGGCGAGGCTTGCCGAGCCTTCTTACGTTTTCGACCCGAGCCCAAATATTGCTTATATTTCAAGACAATTATCATGTATTTTGTTTATCCTGCAACAAAATTTTACATTTGAACTTCCAAAACAAGCTATTTCCGACAGATTTAGGCACATCTCTGCAGTTGAAACTATGACGCCATGGCGTTAACATTGCAATATGCATGACGTCACAATGCTTTTAGAACGTCGGAATACATGCACGAGGCTTTATTAGGGCAGTGACTGGATAAAGCTTTGGTTTATGAGGTTACCTTTGTTAGGTCAATGCAGGGGATAGTTGCAGGATAAATTAAGGTATGTCCTTAATATGAAAGCCATGTTTTACTTCTTAATCCGACACTAATTTTGGGTCTCCAGAGCAAAACTATGGACTTTGCTACTATAACCATATGGGAGGCGAAAGTGTCATTTAGTGAGCTAATTGCTAACAGTACCTCTAGTTATTTTTTCATTCCCGAATGCATTAAACTTATATCTTAATTTTGAATTACAGAGTGCAGATCTTCTGTCGACGTAAATACCGGTATCTTCAATATCCAGGGGACAAGACGACCAGTTTATGACTGTTTTAACAATTGTAGTGGAGATTTTTTTGCATTATCAGTGAGTAATTCTAAGTTCCGTTGACTAAAAGTTGTTTGAAGAAAATCTTATCTTGATTTTAACAGAAAAACTTTGTACACATACATACATTTTGCAATTTTCAATTCCATAAGCAGTAAATGTCCATTCTCTAAAATGGAGGGTAATACAAAGCGAATTGTTTATTAATAAATGATTCGATTCTTTTAGACTTGACTATACCCCCGCTTGAAAAGTGACAGGGTATATAGTGATCGGTATGTCTGTCTGTCTGTTTGTCTGTCCGTCCGTCTGTTACGCTTTCTGGTACCCATCTCCTATCCGCAACTCTTCTTTACCACTCAATAAAATTTAATGACACTTTCACAGAATCTTTGTTACATAATGCCATAGTCCACCTTTTATCTTACGTGTTGATATGACACATATTTTGGTTTCCCAGAGCAAATCATTGGCACGGCCATTTTTTTCTATAATATTGAAGGGTACCCATCTGTTATCCACAACTCCACCTAAATCACTGAATAAAATTTGATGATACTTTTATAGATTCTTTCTTACATAATGCCATTGTGCGCCTCTTATTTTATGGAAAGCAACGGGTTCAAAATTCCAACTCTGTAATTCTTGAAATGTACACATGTCTGAATTTGTAAATTGTAAATCTTAATTTCACCTTAAAGGTCTTCCGTCTCCATTAACAGAAGACCTTATTTTTTTCGTTCGGTTTCTTTTTCCGTTTTATTACTGTAGATCACTAAATTTTCGCGACACCTTATTTTCGCGAGATAGTCATTGACTTTTGATTAGCAAGACAAAATTTTCACGAATTGTGGTTAATGCTCTATATAATCGTAAGGAATACTATTATACTTTCGCGAGCACACTGTCTCGCGTAATTACGCGAAAATAAAGTTCTCGCTAATAAGAGCCATTCTATGTAATGACTTGCACTTTTATATAGGAGCTGTGGCACGCATAGTCTCAGAATTTCTCCAAACTCTCAATGATAAAAGTCTTTGATACCCTAAACTGAAATCAGGCAAAAATTGGTTGCTATGTTTTATAGTTACCATGGCAACATGTCTTAAAGTTCGAAAAATGGCATTTTTTAACATGTTTAGAGCCCCATAGTTAACATTTGCGGCAAAGCAAACAATTGGCAATGACTGTTTCCAAAAGCTGAAGGTCAGATGTCTCAAATGCATGATAAACATGTTTGGTAAATCAAGTACATGACTTGTATTACATACGTTACTATGGTAACAAAGTATTCAAAAGTTAAAAAAATATTCATTGAATTTTATAAAGTCATACACGTAAAAATAAAAAGCAATTATAGGATGAAATGTAACCAAATAATAGAAAAAAGTGTCTTGAAACATATACCAAGAACAAAATGTAATATTTCATTTTGGTTGGCAATGGTTGCCAAGGTTTTTATACCAGAGAGAGCCTTCAAAGTAACACTCTGTATGTTTCAATCTGATCCTATCTTTTAAAAAAGCACATTTCCTAATAACTGATGATCAATTTTTGAAGATGTTGGTGTGCTCCAAGTTTTCCCATTTGAAAAAATTCAGATTAGATTCTTTAAATAGAGCGTTGCTATGGAAATAAGCAGAAAATATATGCTTAAAAACCTGAAAAATATTTTCTGTCCTTGGATACGTACCCTTAAATGTAGATTCCCAAAAGTTTTATGATTGATATTTATTAACAGCTTACCTGACTTTTAATTTTGACTATCATACAATCTCTAAGTGGATGCAAGAAGTTGGCATACAGGGTTTAATATTAATAAAAAGTTCACAAAATCGAACATTTTCCCTTCTTGGTAACCATAGCAACAGTGTTGTTTTCTTCATCAAATTTTATCAAAATATGATATTCAACTTTAGTTCTAACAGATAAGTACGATTCAAGCTGAGTCCTTTAATTTGTTTCTTGGTTATATGGCAATTTAATTCTTAATGCAGCGAAAAATAATTCACTTTTAAGCACTGGTACTTTGTTTCCATGGTAACACTGCAAAGTAGGAATTATACCCAATTTTTCTTATGGTTTTGGTGTTGTAAGGTCCTAAGGATGCATATTTGCCAGTCTTGAATTTTCATGTTTTTCCTCAAGACAGTAGCAATAACCCAATCTTACTTACTGGTTTTGCATGGTTACACTGTGTTACCATGGCAACCATAAAAGTTATTTATAGAATGATATTGCTTATACTTATATATTTAAGGTCAAACATTTTGATTGTTTTTCTTAAGTCGTTGATTGAGTTTGAGCATGTAACACCTACCATTAGTGAATACGGAGTGTTTTTCAGCATATTTCAGCATTTTAAATGTATTCCAAATGTAACCTTGGTTACCACTTACTTAGAGATATATTCTAAACAGTGTCTTTACAGTATAAGTGACATCAAGGTGTCATGTTTTTGTGAGAATGATTTGTTTGCTTTTTCTATTTTTTATTAAGCCACAGTGAAGATTTAAAGTGGCTGAAAATCTCGATTTTTCAAACTTTTTCGGCTGTTGCCATAGCAACCGAGACACATAGCAACGAAATTTTGTTTGATATTTGTTTCTGGTGTCAAGTACTAAGCATGGGTGAAGTTTCATCAAAATCGGTGACCATGCGTGGCAACGAAGTTTAAGTGGTTACAGAGAATGGCTAATAAAAAGTTATTTACAGTATTCCAACCGATTTTGTGCACGCGAGTTCTCAGAAACGACTCGTCCGATTTTCATGAAACTTTTAGATCTGGTAGGGATTGATCTGAACCTTTTTGGAAATTTTTTTGATTGATGACGTCACTTCTTATCTCGAGATATTAAGGATTTTCTGATTTCCAGAGGGTCTGCTTGTCCTGGGAACTCCTCTAAACGGCTTAAGATATTGAGTCAAGATTTTCAGTGAAGTAAGAGGGAGGTTTGTAGATATGCAAATGGGTGTTTTAAACTTTCTAGCGAAAAAGCGCTTAAAAAGCGCAAAAAGTGGTTAATATTTGACGCTTCATATCTCTAATAGGGGCAATATTTTAATAAGCAGTATTGAACAAAAGATGGTCAGAATAATGTTCTAAACAATATGCATACTTTGAATTTTTGTAAAATGGGCCCATTAAGGACTTGTAGGGGGTGACCCCTAAATATTTCCACTCAGCATATCTCCACAACTAAAAGAAATTTCTGAATAAGTGTTGAACCAAAAGCCTTTAAAATCACAAGACCTTTCATTTTATAAAAAGAAAAAAGGGCTGACTCCTCAAATTAGGGGCTCAGAGGGGCTAAAAGTCTTTCATCTTTAACTTTTAAATGATCAATACTAGTATTTTGTAATACATTACAGAAGCAAAGTTATTCATCTTAAAGATTTGCAACAACGTTTTATAAAATTTTGATCATATGTTGCGTAATACGGGGTCGCAAGAGGCCAAAACGCTATATCTTTGATGCTTTATATCTCGAAAAGGGTAAGTATTTTATTTAGTCATATTGAACAAAACATGTTCAAGATATTGTGATATAAATCAGAAAATTTAGATTGAATGAAAGAAAATTTAATGTCATTCTCTTTTTACGAGTATCTCGGTCAAAATCACATCTCATCTTATCGAGAAATTCAACGGAAGACCTACTCGTTGCTCGCAACGAGATCGTATCCAGTTCATTATTATCTTTTTTTTTATATTCTTACCGATTTTGTGCACGCAAGTTCTCGGAAACAACTTAATGGATTTTCACGAAACTTTCAGATCTAATAGATATTGATTTGAACCTTAATGGAAATTTTTTATATTGATATCGTCACTTCCGGTCGTGAGATATGGACGATTTTTTTTTAATTTTCAGAGGGTCTGCTTGTCCGGGTAACTCCTCTTAAACGACTTGAGATATGAAGTTGAGATTTTCAGTGTAGAGGATGGATTTTAAAAGTGCCATTTTGAGCCTATATCTTTTCAGCCCCAAAGGCACCGAAGCTAGCCTGGGTTTAAAAAAATGACTAAAAAATATCTCACAAAATTTAGCAATTTTTCTATTATTAGCTCACCTGAGACGAAGGCTCAAGTGAGCTTTTCTGATGTCTGTCTGTCTGTCTGTCCGTCTGTCTGTAAACATTTCACATTTTCGTCTTCATCTCCAAAACCACTTGACCAATTTCAACCAAACTTGCCAAAAGGCATCCTAGGGGAAAGGGAATTCAAGTTTGTTCAAATGAAGGGCCATGCCCTCATTCAAGGGGAGATAATTGGGAATTAATGAAAATGTGGTGGTATTTTTTAAAATTCTTCTTCTGCGGAACCACTGTGCCAGGAAAGATGAAACTAATGGGGAAACATCCTCAGGTAGTGTAGATTCAAGTTTGTTCAAATCATGACCCCCGGGGTAGGGCGGGTCCACAATGGCTGACCAAAGTTTTACATAGAAATATATAGGAAAATTCTTTAAAAATCTTCTTCTCAAGAATAGCAAAGCCATAATTGATCATATTTATATGGAAGCATCCTCAGGTAGTGTAGATTCAAGTTTGTTCAAATCATGACCCCCGGGGGTAGGGCGGGGCCACAATGGCCGACCAAAGTTTTCCGTAGAAATATATAGGAAAATTCTTTAAAAAATTCTTCTCAAGAATAACATAGCCATAATTGATCATATTTATATGGAAGCATCCTCAGGTAGTGAAGATTCAAGTTTATTCAAATCATGACACCCGGGGGTAGGGCGGGGCCACAATGGCCGACCAAAGTTTCACATAGAAATATATAGGAACATTCTTTAAAAATCTTCTTCTCAAGAATAACAAAGCTATAATTGATCATATATGTATGGAAGCATCCTCAGTTAGTGAATTTGTTCAAATCATGACCCCCGGGGGTAGGGCGGGGCCACAATGACCGACCAAACTTTTACATAGAAATATATAGGAAAATTCTTTAAAAATCTTCTTATCAAGAATAGCAAAGCCATGATTGGTCATGGGACTACTTTTGGGTCTAAACTATTAAATAATAAACCAATTTCTACTTGTTCTTAGCCACAGTGCTCGGGTGAGCGATGTGGCCCATGGGCCTCTAGTATCTTCTTATCTGTTAGCATTTTGTTCAGACACACAGAGGCAAAGGTATTCAGAGATGTGAGATCTTTCATTTTATATGGAGATAAAGGGACTTGCTTCTCTAATAAGGGGAATAAAGGGGCCAAAAGACTTATCCATAATTCTTTAACTATCATTTTTTTGTTATAAATTACTGAAGCGAAAATGTTTATCTTAACTATCTTTAAGAATTAATTGTAAAATTATGGTCTTGTGTTACTTAATTATGGACCATTAGGGGCCAAAATAGAAAATCTTTGATTCTTTATATTTCCAAAGGGAGAAATATTTTGATAAGCAGTATTGAATAAAAGATGTTCAGAATCGTATTGTTAACCTTATACAACCATTCAATTTTTGCAAAACGACCCCATTAAGGACTTGAAAGGCTGACCCTTCACAGTACATCTAGTTCTTTGAGGGTTGGGAATCATATTTTTTTAATTGACAGACTCTATCGTAGTCTTATACTAAGTGTGGATGTTTTTGTGCATTTATGAACTATCATGCTATAGATTTTTTGCATGAAATACTGTTTTGCTGCCCTGTCTTAGATTTAGTTACACCTTTTAAAAAGCTAAAAGCAGGCTACACACGCTTTCCTTGGAACACTCTAATTCTCATATATGATATGTTCAAAGTCTTACGTTAATGATATTTTATGGATTTAATAATTATATTATTTAAGAAGATATGCAACTTTTTTATGCAGTCAGATCGATGGATTGGGGGCATATATTGATTTTGTCCTGTCTGTCTGTTTGTCCGTCTGTCTGTTGTCAACTTTAACTTTCGCCTATAACATTTGAAGCATAAGAGATGGAGACTTCATATTTGGTAAGCGTACTCCACTAATTAAAGTCTTTCAAATAACACCAAGGTCAATGACCTTGAGACCTTGACTTTGACCTATATGCTAAAAATAGTTTTTTCGAAACCTCGCATAACTTTTAAACCGTATGAGATAAAGACTTTATATTTGGTATGCATACTCCATTTATTAGTTTCTTTTAAATGGCACCAAGGTCATTGTGAATGACCTTGTGACCTTGACTGTGGCCTACATTCTAGAATAGTTTTTTTTAACTTTGTTGCCGCCGGGTGCATACTGTTTCTCAAACATATCTTGTTCTAACTGTGAGTTTGCGATCTTCCATATCAAATCGGTTTACAAAGGACACATCCCTTGGCAACAGAACATACTTCATTTATACACATCTCCCTAAAACAATCAATCCAATTAATGACTAAAATTTTTGTTATTCTTTTTTCTTCATAAACCGTGTACAATTGTTACATACTATACTCGTATACTGCAAAAGAATTTCCAAGAAATACGTTTATCTTTACAGCTGCTCGTTGCTCGCATACGTCTGACTCAACCTTTTTTGTCACAAGTGATCTACATACTGACGTTATTATACCCCCCGCTTGAGAAGTGGGAAGGTATAGTGTAATGGGTATGTCCGTCCGTCTGTCTGTTACGCTTTGGGGTACCTATCTCTTATCCACAACTCCTCTTACACAACGAAGTGAAATTTAATGAGACTTCCACAGAATCTTTATTACAAATTGCTACCTCTTATTTTACTTTTTGATCCGACACGTATTTTAGGTTTCCCATAGCAAAACATGGACACTGCCATTATATCCCTACCTATGACGTGAGATATGGCGGCTTCTGAATAACATTAGATACCACGAGTTATTCCTCTTTACACGTTACCTTAAAACAATATATAGCAAAACCTGGACATTATGGAAGGCGGGGGTTATCATTTAGTGAGCTCATTGCTCACAGTACCTCTAGTTTTCACAGTGTGACGTTACAAACATAATTCCCTATATGCTGTTTTTAGAACATTTCACTATGAGTGCACCAAATAACATTCTGATCTGAATTGTGGATTTGCAAATACTGTACACAGGGAAATTTTCGCCCCCGTTTTATTTTCGCCCCTTTTGCCCTACCCTCATTTGGGCGAATTTAAAACGGAGCGAAATGAAATAATACAGTATAATTTTTTTTTAATAAAACTATGATTGGGCGAATTTAAAACGGGACAAAATTGTTTGCAAGTTTGAAAGCGCGAAAATTAAACGGGGCGAAAATAACACTGTATACAGTATAGTGGTAGTTTGCAAACTTTTTGATCAACCCTGAATTTTGATGCACCCGGATCGATAGATCCGGGGCGTATATTGTTTTGTCCTGTCTGTCTGTTTGTCTGCAAAGTTTAACCTTCGCCATAACTTTTGAAACATAAAAGATAGCGACTTCATATTAATTTTGGTATGAGTACTCCACTAATTAAGCTCATTCAAATGTCACCAAGATCAATAACCTTGTGACCTTGATAGTGACCTACCGGTATATAGTAAAAATAGATTTTTTGAACCTCGCCATAACTTTTGATGCCAGAGAGATAGAGACTTCATATTGAGTATACATCTGTCACTAACTAAGTTCTTTCAACTGACACCAAGGTCAATTACCTTCTGACCTTGACTGTGACTTATATGCTAAAAATAGCGTTTTCGTACCTTCGCCATAACTTTGAATCATAGGAGATAGAGACTGCATATTTGATATGCAAACCCCACTTAATTATGAAGTTCTTTCAAATGGCACCAAGGTCAGTGACTGTGACCTTGACTGTGACCTGTATGCTAAAATAACTTTTTCGTACCTTCGCCATAACTTTTGAACTAAATAGAGGTAGAGACTTCATATTTGGTTTGCATACTCTACTAATCAAGTTCTTTCAAATAACACCTATGTCAATGACCTCAACTATGACCAATATGCTAAAATCGTTTTTTTAGAACTTTGTTGCATGGTGTTTCACAAACACATCTTGTTTATCTCAGAAATTTGTTCCCTGGTATCAGAGGAAACATGTAATTACGGAAAAGGTACTGTAAAAATATTTATAATTCGGAAAAAATCAGTTTAATACCGTTTCAGGGTTTTTTTTAAATCCAAAACCATTAATGTTAATTTACAGTTCGAGTCATCGAAATGTGCTTGCACACTAATATCTATAGGAAAAACTGAAGTGTGTAACTACAAATTATTTGAAGGGACGAAAATGGACTTCTACAGTGAATCTAACTATTTAGAATACAGAAAGGGATCAGTTCAAGGTATGAGTTACTCATAAAGATATATGTTTTGTCATTCTTTTCATTTTGACATCAATTAAATAAAATGCAAATACAAGAGGTATTTTAAAAATATTTTTAGTATAAAATGAACATTTTCTATTATTATACTTGCATTTGTTGATTTGAAAAAAAGTCTTTCAGCACTTAAAATGTTGCATGTTGCATGTTTTTTATTCACTTTTATTCTGTATCTCGTCAAAATCCTTCAAATTTTATCAGTTATGCAAGTAGCATACAATACATTATAAGGAAAAATTGTTTTTACATCAGTTTTGTCCTTAATTGTTTTAAAATCAAAATGAGCGGATATTAGATCTATATATTAGGATTGATTTTAAGGGTTTACAAGCAAAATCAAAGCATTGTGGTCCCCAGCTTTCGGTGTCTTTGTGGGTGATATGTCATTTTTTCATGCCATACATTTATTGTGTACGTCCTATCGTATGTCATTTAGAAGTTATGGCCAATGTTGATTTTTTTAAATAAGGTCAGTCGTGAAGTTCAAGGGGTCAGAAATCATAGCATGCTAGCTCGGAAATGTCACAGATAATGTTCACGTCAAATATGAAATCCCTATCTCTTCTCAATCAAGAATTAACATTTTTGAAAACTAGATCAAACTTCAAGGTCAAGGTCACACGATCAAAAATCATAGTGTATTTAGAAAGGTCTTGTTTCAGGTAATATACATGTATAATATGAAAGCCTTATCTCTTCGCATTCAAATGATATGACCAAGGTTAAAGTGTTTAAAAAGTAGGTCAAACTTCAAGGTCAAGCATACGAGGTAAAAAATCAAGGTGTATTTAAAAAGGTTAGAATTATGTTTAATTTTCTAAAAAGTAGGTCAAACTTGAAGGACAAGGTTGTGGCGTCAAAAATCATAGTCTATGTAAAACTAAGGCGGCTTAATCATGTTAATACATTGATCTAAAAAGAAACCCGCAAAATTTGAAAATAGTATCTAGTTGCAGATCTGTAGCTCGCTTGTCTGGAAAAAGAATTGGGATGGACGACCAGTGAGCTACTGTAACAGTGTCTCCCATACATAAAACTATATGCACAAAAAAAAGTCGCGCTCGGTTCTGCGTTAATTTCTCCAAAATTCCTATCTGTATTGCCCATGGGCCACAACGCTAATCTGGGTAACGTTGGCCATGCTGCCCCCCCCCCCCCCCCCATTGTAATATCTATTGTGGCTCCGTCCTACCCCCGGGGTCATGATTCGAACAAATTTAGAATCTACACTACCCAAGGATGCTTTCCCATAAGTTTCAACTTTCCCTGACGAGTGGATCTTAAGAAGAACGTTTTTAAAGATCTTTCCTAAATATTCCAGTATAAACCCTCGATTTCCTATTGTGGTCCCGCCCTATCCCGAGGGTCAAGATTTGAACAATTTACAATCTAAACTACCCCAGGATGCTTCCGCACAAGTTCAGCTTATCTGACGTTGTTGTTTTTTAGAAGAAGATTAAATTTTTTTTTAATATTTCAATGTAAAACTTCCTATTGAGGCCCCAAACTACCGTCGGGGGTCATGATCTACAATCCGTTAAGATGCCTCCACACAAATTTCAACTTTTTCTGGCTCAATGGCTTTTGAGATGAATTTTTTATGTCCCACCCTATCTTAAGGTCACCTGAGTAAACTTATTGCTATCCGTTTTTGTCCGTCGTCGTGGTGCGGTGAGCGTCGTGTGTTAACATTTGACATTTTCAGCTCCTTCTTTGCAAATGCTCAACCAATTTCAACCAACATTTGCATAATAATACATTTTTGGCTGAAGGGGAACAAAAAATGGGTCAAAGGTTCTAGTGTTAGGGCGGTATTCTAAGGATTATATGGTGAAAATGCACGAATTATTTAAGTCCGCGTTTTCGTGAATGTTGCAGGATAACCTCTGATGTCGAGAAATTCATCTTCATTAGCCAAGGGTTTTCGGTCCGCACCGCTCCCCATAAACCCTTGGCCG